GTTGGCATTTTAGAAGGGGGCCTAAGTATAATAAAGGTTTAAGTATATTAAAGGTTTGATACCGTAAATTTGATACCTTTCTATAAAATACAAAAATAACTTAAGACTGGTATATTATGTTGAACTTTTAGCTAGATTTCATAAGCAAGATCCGGCAATACTGGCAAATAACGGATTTTGAATTGGCGGCAAATTTAAATGAGAAAATTAAATAAAACGAAAATTAGAAACAAATAAGCTTAAAACAATGCTTATGGCTTAAATAAAAGAAATTAACAAATTATCAGCCCCTGACAATTGGCTTGATTACTTAGGCCTGTGATCAAAGAAAGATAAAAAAGGCTAAAAAAAAACATCAAAAGATCGCGAAAAATACAAACACAGTGAGATGTTCAATAAAAATAATAATAAGTATAGCTTATGTTATCTTGAAACCCTTTTAATTAGTATTTTATTGTATTGAAAACAACTTTGCAAGGTCACACTGACCAGGTCTAGAATAAGCTCGAAAGAAAACTTGGAAAAATAGAAGAAAAAACGTCAACAACAAATCGGAAAAATCTGGCAAAAAAGAGACAGGCATACCGGATTATATGACAGTTCTAGCTGATCACGTGAAGCGATTATTTGCCACGAATAGGTTATATTCGCAAATATGAAGATCCGAACCAGGAGGAGTCTCTCATTTTCCGGCTGCGGCTTCTTGGGCATCTACCACGTGGGCGTAGCCGTTTGCCTACACCAACACGCCCCCCAATTGTTGCTGGAGAGGATTGCCGGCGCATCGGCCGGTGCCTTAGCCGCCTGCTGTCTGATCTGTGATCTCCCGCTGGAATGCATGGCTGGGGATTTCCTGCGGGTTGTCCAGGAGATACAACGACATTCGTTGGGCGCCTTTAGTCCGTGGTTTAATCTGCCGGAGTGCCTTCTCGAGGGCATGCGAAGCTGGTTGCCTGAGGATGCCCATCTGCTGGCCAGCGGACGACTCCATATATCCCTCACCCGCGTCAGCGATCGCCGCAATGTGGTCATGTCGGAGTTCAGCTCCCGGCAGGAGCTCCTCGAGGCTCTCATGTGCTCCTGCTTTATTCCCGGACTCTCTGGATTTGTGCCGCCACAGGTGGGTTTCTCATTTATTATTGGAATCACAGAAGCTTCGATGTCAATAAATATATATATTTTAGTGGCATTAAGCCTATTAAAAATAACTGTCACGCACACCACATAAAATATCTAATAACAATGAAGGAATGTAAGAAATTTAAATATTGCTGTTCTGCGTAGGCAATTTCATTCCCGAAACTAAGATTATCAAAAATGATTACTTACAAACCAAAATTTCAAAGCAGGTGTTTAACTTGAATATATGTATGTCTTTTCAGGTTCGAGGAGTTCGTTATATGGATGGGGCCTTTTCCAATAATCAGCCGCTGCTGGACGAGCACACCGTCACCGTGAGTCCATTTTGCGGGGAGAGCGACATATGCCCACGGGATCAGAACCCCCATCTCCTCCAGCTGAACATCAATTGGGCGAACACTTGCATCCGTTTGTCCAGGAGGAATCTGCGTCGCATGGTGCGAATCTTGGTGCCGGGCAGAGCGGACTTCATGGCCGATTTCTGTCAGCAGGGCTACGATGATACGCTCCAATTCCTGCGCAGGAATAGCCTTCTCAAGGAGGGGTTCAGGGTCGAGGAGAAGGGCATGATCAGTTGGATCCATCAGCAGATGGAGAGGGAGAAGGCGCTGCGAGGAAGTCCAAGGAGTCTTGAGAAGGAGCACATGAATCGCATGCCAATAAAAAAGAAGGATATGCAGCATAAGAAGCGAAGAAATCGAAAACAGAGGACACAAAGACATAGTCCGCAGAGGACCAAGAAAAAGCAGCAGGAGAGGATCAGGAACAGAAAGATTTTTGAAATGGACAAGGACCACCAAAAGGACGCCACCAACACGGAGAATCTGACAGAGATCAAAGAGAAACGTCGGGAGAAAAGGCCTCCAGAGGAGCACGATCGCTATCCCAGTTCACTCATGGGCTCCACCTGGTCACTCCTGCGTCGCGTTATGTTCGCTCCGCCGCTGGCCAGGCACATGGTCCAAGTGATTGTCCGCCACCTCAGCCAGAGTCTCACGCTCTGCGAGCAGCCGCACTTTGATCTCGCTCTGATGCAGGCACCTACCGCCTGTTACTCTTCGAGCACCTCCTGCCCCCCATCGACGCCACTGGGTGATAGCGATAACGACAAAGTCAAGGCCTAACGAGTGTGCGAGGCCAGCCAAATTGAATCGGAAGATCAGGTGGTTGAGGAGGTGGATGAGGTAGGGGGGACATCCGGTGTTCATTAGACGCCATTAGCTTTATCAGGGATCGTCAATCGATCGGTTTCCAATTGATTTTCATGTCTGTTCGCGCAATTACTTTTATTTAATAGAGGAACTTTTCCGCGTTTTGTTTTCTTAAACATCGAATTTTTAAATGTTTTTATGTACTGACTGCTGTGAACTAAATAACCAAAAAATTTGTACTTAATAAACTTGGTGATTTATAAAAAGAGGAAAGGATTTTAAATGAAAATTATACGTTAAATTAAAAATATCCCAGTACACAATATTATTCAGAAGCCATCAGCTAAATTGAAGACTTTTTTAAGGTCCTAGCCAAAACAGAAAAAAAGGAAATCTTTTTTCCTAGCCAAAACAGAAAAAAAGGAAATCTTTGCGAAGATTCTTAGTATCAAGCTACCGAAAACCAAAATAATTGAAATCCGCTTGCTGCGTTGCACTCGATTCTTCTATCCGAATAAACTGATATAACCTCCAGATTCGAGGCTCTGACGCAGATTCTTATCAGCAAGGTGCAACGCAAGAGAGGATGATGCACGACGAGATCAGAGAAGTCGACGCAATAGTATAGTATACCATACTCAATAATCAGAAGCGAGAGAATGAATAATAAGAATCACGCCACTTTCTGCACTTTCCACCTCCGCCATCTCGCTCGCACTCGTGGTGATCGAAGAATGCCACGCCCCTAACGCCGAAGGCGGGTGCTCATCCTGTGGCTTTATCGCCCCCCTCCCCCATCCGTTCCCGCTCCAACTCTCTTTCTCTCTCATTTTTCTGAGTGTGCGTGTGTGTGTTTTATAAAGTCATTCAATTTTATATAGTACTTACTCTTGATTACGTTTATAGTTGGAACGCCTTTATGAGTCCACTCCCTGCTCCTCTGCTCCCCCGCTCTTTCTTCGCGATAAGAATTGTCGTTGCCAGGCGAGGACTGGAAGACTGGAAGAGCAGACCTCGTCATCGTCGCTTCGGGAAGATCGGCTGGGGAGGCCAGGTCCAAAGTCCGGGTCCATTAACATCTCTACACTCGGAGGCCCCCTGTAGAGGTATACACACCTTGCGGTTGCCCCTTCCATTACACTGGGCTGCTGTCCAATAACGATCGTTACCACCATGCCATGATCTGATCATCGAACGGGCCCACTAACGATCGGTGCATTGCACTTACACAGAGGATCTGCTCTACCCATGGAGAAACCTAATCAGAGCACTAAAGCTGCAGGGAATATAGTATGTAGTATAGATTTACTTATCGTGGCCCAACGAACAAGTCTTCAATGGGAAGAATCGGATTTACCTATCAATATCAACATGGTATGAAGTACTACAACAGAAAAGCCTGTTATAAGATGTTCTATAGACAAGGCGTAGATGTACTTATCATAATAGTTCTTCTATCGGAAAGCCTGTATAAAGTAATCCAGGAATACTGGAATAATACTGGAAGGTATGTGGAATTTTTTGCGCTTTTGTTGTAAGAAGAATCGGTCATTATTGAAGCCCTTAGGTATTTCACATATCATATTCATAGATGATATCATATTTCATATTCGATAAGATTTGTGAATTTCATTGGTTTATAGGTTGCTTTTATTGTGATTCATTTTTTTCGCCTTGTGTATGCCATATTAATCGATTGCGGTTTCGGAACCCGTCGAACAAGTCATGGGTTCCATGGGTTCCACAAAAAAAGAAAAAAAAAACCCAATACCTCAGCGAAGCCCTTTTCTGGGCAGACCGAACTCATGAATATTTCGAGCCCCAATGCATTTCGCAAAACTCAATATTATGCCAAGTATGCTTAGTCTGAGTTTGAGATTGATTCCCCAGGCTGGCAAACTGGAACCTAGTCGAGACGGTGGACAGACTGAGCCCATGGCATGTTCCTCTTGTCGGGAGCGCCAATTATAGCGATCGGCCAGACGTGGAGCATACAAATGAGATGGGCGGCATACGGATTCGGTGGAGAGATGCGGGAGTGACTACGCGGAGGGAGTGGAGTGCCGAAGCCAACTGAAATGAAAGGGAAACTCAGAGAAGCCGACGTCGCCGTTTTGCCCAATCTACATGACGGATAATTGCACGGCCATTAACGCCGTCATTATCGACAGGGACAGAGTCACAAGTCCACTGGGCAGTGCACAGTGCGGCTCAAGAAAGTGGGATCTCAACTCAGACTCAACCAGAAATAGTTCCATAGCTAAAGGAAGTTCGAGTACTACCGAGCTAGATAATACGTGCTAACCCAAGTGCGCTAATAAACTAGAATAGTAGTGGACAAAAATGACTAAGATACTATAATATGAAGCACATGGTCTTTTTCTTTTCTTTTAGTTTCGAGTAGCAGCAATTTCCGATCCCCAGCCAAACGCACTTTAATATCACATGTTCGGAAACGTAGTATACATATAGACGCCTTATCTGGCCAGCAAGTGATCCATAAATTCATTCGCTGCAGCGTTCCGGCAATTGCGAGGACTGAACTCCACACTGAACTCGAAGTAAATCAGCGGACCGGGGAGCGCTGTCCCGATAAGGCGCCTAATCAGATGGGGGGCAGTAGGAGCCATAGCGCTCCGCCTACTCCGCTTATCGTTCACGCTCTGCGAGGCGAGTGGGAAAGGCAAAAATAATTGAAAGAAATTCGTTGGCATTTCTCTTGTTCTTCGTTCCAGTTTTGCGTTGGCTCTTTTTATTAATATTTAATATTATCAATCTAGTTGTTTAGAGCAAACATTATGGCTAGGTTCTCCATACAAGTGTGTGAGGGGGTGTGTGTGTTGTGTTGTGTTATGTATATATATATATATATATATATATATGGATATAGATTAGGCATAATTCATTTTCATTAGCAATTAGACATCTTCTGGTTGGGCTCCCAGCGAGCGTACAATGGAAATTAAATAGAGATAGAAATAGCATTAGGTATTATATTACGTATACGTACAGCTAAACCGCACTATGCCAACCGTGCGCGTATGTTCTCTTTAAATTTATATATCATATATCTGCGTATATATTAGGCATATATAGGTGCGTATATTTTATGTATTATTCAATGCATGCGTGGCACTTTAGCACAGCTAAAATTGACGAAAAAAAAAATCGCTCTCTTCTGACTCCCGATCTCTGCGACTACTATTATCTTACAACTAGGATTGGTGAGGGCTATACTTCAAATAAATATTTACAAAGCAGGTGGCGCAGGAGACGGGGTTCTCGGGTATGCGTTTAAAAAAACCTTCTCCACTTTAGATGATCCTCTATGGACGTACTACTCGTATCGGCTAGTACTCAATGAAATATTACGCAAAAAAAAAAAGAAATTATAAAATACATTATAAAATGGGCGGCTTGGGTGGTAGGTAGGGGGTATCTTAGGTGGTGAACGTGTGGGAAAGAGGATAATATCTAGCTATAGATATAGTTGTAAATGGGCTGCTGTTTTTCCACTACTGAGACGTCACCGCCGGCGCCCGTTTGCTTTTGGCCACATGGGACTAGGCCACAACAGCCTTGTTGTTGCTGGTGGAACTGGTGCTAGTGGTCGTTCCAAATGGCGAACAGGTGTCGCTGCTGCTGCCGCCAGACTGCTCCACATTCGTGCCCATCGACGAGTTAATGAAGTTGATGTACTGATGCAACTTAAGGGCGGCTATCAGGGAGCTCAGATAGTCGTTGATGTTGCCCTTCTGGACCTGCTTGATCTGTCGGGAGACATTTCGATAGACGCGACGGGAGATCTTGTTGGATAGCCGTCCAACCGTCTGTACTGTGTGTAGGACTGGATCCTCGCTGGCGGGAACTGGCACTAAAAGTAAAAGGAGGAAAAGTAATCATCATTAACGAGAGAAGCCAGTAATAGTAAGTGGAGTATTTGTTACGGGTTATAAACAAGTCATTGATTGATTAGTAATAGTGGCGCTGTGTTGGCTTGTTTGTGCTTACCATAAACTTGTTGAGTTCCCTATCGATAATGCCTACGATCTCTGGATTTCTTCTAACGTACTCAACAATTTCGGTTATGATTTTCAGGGACATGGACAGAAATACCGTCGAGGCGGCCACTAAGAATCTATCATCAATCTCTTGATCGTGATCCCGGTCGTAGCTCTCCCCAACAACAATAACTAACAAATGGCATAGAGAAAGAGAGATAGAGATGTTAATTTAGAAAATTAGTGTCACTTTTTTGGGGGATGGGCGGTTAATTAAAGCTAGCGGCGGGGACAGCACCAGGATCAGGATCTCGGTTTCGAAAAATTTGAAGGCTAAACAACATTTATCGCTCGACTCGAAATCGTAAATATTTCTGTATATTATATTCCCATTTTGTTCTCGTTTTGTGTGTGAAATTGTCGTCATGCTTGATTAGTGTTCATGCTTTTTTATTTACTTGCTATTTTTATGCTTATTAGAAGGTGTGTTAGTGGTTGACAAACAAACAAACGATCGAACGAACTGAAGATCGGATCGGGGATCGGAAACTTACTGTCATTTTCAGAACTCTTGCCATTCTGCACGACGGCATTTTGTTTATCATCTGAGAATTAAAAATATTTACGATTTATATTTAGAATTTTATTTACACACCGCGCAGAAAAAGTGAGGGCAGCAGAAGGCAAGCAAGCTAATTATACATTTTTGGGCCAACAGATGGAAATGGTACGGAGCCAATAAATATTATTCTCCACCATCCAAAGATCTTAAATAAAACTGAGCTAAATAATACTAACTGAATTATATAATAGTACTGTCGCTTTAAAGACAGTAGTATTAATTTTTAAAATAATTTTTTGAAACAGCTTTAACTATATTTTGAAAAAGTAGTGTTTAGAGAGAAAACCTAATAATTATTCTCGAAGGACGACAGGACAAAACTTTTAGTTTTAGTAATGTCAAAGATGATCTGATAAAATTGGTATTAAATAAATCAAAACAATTTTTAAACGTACAAAAAGATTGGAACTTAAATTGCTTCAATTATCATATATTTTATTAAATTGTAATATTTAATTTAAAGTGATGGCAAATGAGAAAATCACTGCTCTACGGCTCCAATGAATATATATAAATGGAAATACCCGACGATTTGCCCTACTATTTTTGAAAGTCTTCCGTCAACACTCACCATTATCTTCCTCCACATCCGACTCGCACTTGGGGAAGTAGTATTCCAGGAGCCGCTCGGCCAGCGCCGTGGTGGTGTCCACTCCGTTGACAGCCAGACTGCCGTACTGGGTGGCCAGGACCTCGTTGGCTTTCTGCCAGGCGAGATCCTTCAGAGAGGCGGCCTTCTGCTGGCCGGCTGCCTTGAATTTGACGACACGCTCCAAATGGGGCTGCACTACATCGATCACCTTGCTCTTGGCCTGATTGTAGATCTCCTGGGGTGTGTCCTTGATGATCGGCGCCTTTACCTCCAGCTTATCGATGCCCTTGACCAGGGTCTGGTCCACATAGGCGATGGGTCGGTCCAGTTTGGTGACGAAGGGAGCCGCCGTTGTCACCGCGCGCGTCACACAATCCTCGGCTGCCGTTAAAGCCCATTCAAATACACGATTTTTGCCTGAAAATCAGTATGGTTGACATTATAATCAGTTATAAAAATTGGAAATCAGAATATATGTACAAAAATACAAAGTATCATTTGAAACCTAACAGCCACTTTAATCTGGAACTTCTAGAATTGTGTAGTAATACCCCATATATTTGATACAAGATCGGAGAGCGCGTTTATCAGTTGCAACCATAATAATTACAATCATAATAAAAAATATGTAGCATTTCTAGCTGATAAGGAACTGCGCAGTTCACGAACCCCAGGGCCCCTTGGACCCGAATTCTATCTGTCTGGGGCCCGCCAGTTTAGACTTTGATAGTTCGTCACTCGGCAAACACATCATCCAATTCCAATTCCATTCCCAGCAACTGCAGCAACAACTGCGAAATATCACAAACAAGTCGAAAGTCCAACTAGAGTTTTTGTTGTTGCTGCTGTTGACAGTGAGACCCCAATAGCACCGTAGTATCAGTGCTGCCCGCTTAAGTTAGTTTCCAGCCAAATCTAACCTTTTTCGACAGCGTTAATCGATATTGCCTTGTAAATGGTTATTTATTTTAAGTACATGTTTTTCAAAGATCTGTAAATTGGGCCATACCTTAATAAGTTTGATTTCAATATTAAAGGAAAAAAATTATATATTGAACTAACAAAATACTGCATCCTTTACCGATAATTTAAAATTAAATTAATTGTTTTTATATGTCTAATATTGTTTAATGTTTTTGCTATAGGAAACTTAGAAACACCAGTAATATGTTATTCTAGCTATCAATTAAAGCGCCACTTTAGCTTAACTTTTGCTCAGCCCTGGCAACGCTGCCAGTGCCAGTGGCGTGGCCATAGAGTCCGTTTTGCATTTCCTCTCATAAAATCGAGCCCCCTTTTATTGTCGGCGCCTCTGCGACTGCAGCCTACGTGCGGTGGCCTTTTAGTCGGCCCCCGTTCACTCTCTCTCTCATTCGCTCTCTTTTGCCTTTGGCCAAGTGTTTTATTATTATGTAAATTTTAAGCGAACTTTGAACGCAACGCGTCACGAGGGCAAAGTGCCGGCCTTTTTGCTTTTTTTAACGCTAGGTCATGGTTGTTGTTGCTGTGATTTCGATTATTGAACGACCGGCAATCAATTTATATCAATTGAGCTTAATTTCTGGCCAATTAATCGAAAAACATTAAAAAACAAAAAAGAGTGGTTGTTGCTGCCCTCTATCTGCGTTTCGAGTTCGAATTGCAACTCGAATTAAAATGGCGAAGCGAAGTCAAAAAAGCAACGGTTTCGGTTTCGATTACGGCTTCGAGTGCATATGGTCGCTGCAATTGTTGTTGCTATTTGCCTCCTACTCCTACTCTCCTCCTCTACCGATCGTTTATTCTCTATATGTGTTCCGTTAGGCGGCCCAAAGTAACTGGACTTGGGCGAGTTCAATGCACTCGGAGGTCTTATTTTCATTTTCTGTTTTTTCTTTTGCTGCACTCACCTTTTACTTTGCCATAGACATCCTGGGATTTGTCCCATGCCGCATTTACCACGGGCAATTTGATGATCCGCTCGAGGGACTCGAGGTGCGGCAACAGGTCCTTGGCATCCTTGGGCTGGTCCACATCGTTCACCGCCGTTCCATTGCCAGTTGTTCCGTTCCCGGTGGCGTGTTTCTGCTCTGCACTGGCCATGATCTGTTCTCTTTGGTTCCTCTTGCGCTGCTTTCTGCTGCCCTTTTCACTTTTTCTTTCTTTCGCTTCTCGGTCTTTCGCTATCAAGCTCTTTCGCTTGCCACCGCACTTTTCTTTTCGCCTATTGTTTCTTTTCTTTCACGAACAAAAAAACAGCTTAACCTGCGAGTAAGTGTGCGAATGTAGGGTATCTGTGTCTGGAAGCACTCTTTTGTTTTATTCCTAGCACTTTTTGGCACGTCTGCTCACGTCTGCTCGCTGGGACTCTCTGACTGATTTGCTAGCTGCGCGGCTGGTTTATTATATGAGCGAGTGCTGCCGCCAGTGTTGCCAGCGCCGAGCATCAAAAAAGCTATGAGCGACAGTGATGCCGCATTTTAGAAAAATAGCTAAAAACTTATGTTATTACAATTTTTATTACAATTTATTATCATAAATCTCCAAGATTTATGACTAGGCGAGGGTCATAGGAAGAAACCACAAATTAAAATGTAACCATGAGAAAGTGCTTGTCGCTTATTTCAAAATATTATTCAGAATAACAACAGAAAAGTAGTTGACTAGAAACCAACTTTTTTTTCAAACATGTTGAACATTGTAGTGATATATTTATTAAATTAATGTAAATACTGCGGATATCATTAGCAGTACTATAAAAATAACGCAATAAGAGAAAATAAGATTGTCTGATATGAACTAAGGAAAATTGCATGGCAAAATCTATCTTGAAAATGGCTAGATCGATTGCTCCTGTAAGATAGTGTTCACGGAGAGCAGAGCGCCAAAGCCAAAAAGACTTAAGATTAGGACTCTCTTTGGAATTCCATATAATTATAAGACGAATATTTGTCCACTAAGTTTTGGCCAATACGCATAAAACAAAATTTTTTAAAATGTGTATCAAAACTAATCGCAATTTTACGAATCCTGATTATCTATTGTAGAACAAATGTTTTGTTTAAAATAGGTACACATTATGTACCACACACATACATACATATGTACATAGCTGTTTTAATTGCAAAGGATAGACATTATTTATAAATACTTTTTATTATATTAATTTTTGGGGTGAGAAAATGTATAATTACATGCATATATTAAAAAAATAATGCTATCATGATCTTTAAAAATATATTTTAAAGTTCTTCCGATCCAGACACAGTTCATAGTGCAATTCTTCTTTGTTATCCTTGAAGGGGGTTCAATTCTTCTGCCCAGAAAGCAAGAAAGTTGAAGAGAAAGAAAGAAATTTGGGAAAATAAGAGAGACATGTTTGTTCGGCATGCTTGACAACTAGATTAATTAATACGCAGTGTCGGGCGCAAACAAAGTTTAGATTCAAGCACATTCCAATATGTATATGTATGTATATTAACATATGTACATACATACATATGTATTTTTGTGCATGGGGGCACTTCGATTATCAATGGCCAGTGTGCACCGCCACACAAAAGCTTCGTGCGACCTTTGAACTCCTGCCACAGCATCGATAATACGCCACTGCACTGTCACACATCAACATTCAATTTTCTACGTAATTATTGCCAAATGCTATGTAATTCGCTTGGCAATCCAAAGTCCGATGGGTGACAAAACGAAAACAAATTACGAGAACTACAAGCGAAACGTGCTAGCCGCGGAAAGTTAACCCCTAAAAAGCGGCACCATCCCCCTGTTTTAACCCATATTTCAGCACGTTAAGCAAGACCCTAAAATCATATATGTATATCCCTAAAATATAAAAGAAAACTTTTCTGCATTGATGAAAAGGTAATGAAAACTATAAAAAAGAAAAGCCGACATTCCAGAATGACCAGACTTAATTTTAATAATATACATAATTTAAATTCATGTATAATAATTTATAATAATTTAAAATTCGAATATAAGAAAATGTTTTTTGCTTGGATTTTAGTTCAAATACGATCTGAGAAAACCCCATTAGGACGGAATTTTCTCGATCTTTCCATAAACCCAAAATGGGTTAATGCCCTAGTGAATTATGAGCTACTTATATATAAAGGGTAATTATGTCTGTCTGATAAGGCTTAACCAGAACGCCAACCACTAATGCGCATATTAACCAGGCCCTCGAGATGGAAAGGTTGCAATGGCTAGTCCGTAATTCCAAAGTCCGGACCTGTCGTCACAACACTGTTTATGTTGTAACCAAGAGCAGGTGCTTATCGTCACCAGTTGATCGGTCTAGGCTGGGTTCCGATCGGCGATGTCGGACGTACATATGTATGTATATAAACAAATGTAACCAATTCGATCAGTTTATTATAGTTATATGAAGTTTTATGTGGACTTTGTAGTCGTGGTATCTCGACATTACATTAAACGAAGGAAATCACTTCAACCATGTTTGCCTAACTGATTTCGCTAGCAGATAACGAAGATTACTGGAAAATAGTAAATATTGGAGGGTTTGTTACGACAATATTACGAAGCAATTCTTTATTCTCTTTTATACAGAGCTTGGGCAACGTAGAAAATTGGGAAATTAAAATTTCAAAATTAAAATAGGTTTTACTGTTATATGGTTGTACATATATTTTGGATTATGGAATCGGAATAATCCGCTCAAGAGCTGCATATGGAGCCGATTAGCACTTGGGCGCACGTAGACAAGCTCCAGACCGTATGTATACCTTATAGGCTTAATAGGCCCCAGTACGCGTAAAGTATGTACATATATATAAAGACATACATATATACATACATAAATACATATGTGGGTATTTTCCCAAATGGTTGAGTCTAGAATTCCATTGGAATGGATGAATTTTGGCATCTAGTGCCAAATTTCAGGGGCCTAGGCGTTATCTATTTATAGAAGGAGGAAACATTCGGGTAATGATGACATATATTGGACTTTGGATTAGCGGCGTGAGTGAGTTCCTCTATATACATATGTATGTACATGTGAAAGGCGAATGAGTCGCTTGCTGATTATATTAAGTTTTTATTTCCTTTTTTTCGCACATTTCAATGCTTTCTAGATGGATTGTACTTTGCTGATAAGGGGTTTTGAATACTTTTTTTACACTCTGCTTCATTAATTTAATGCTTTTGTTTTATAATTGTCGTCGGTTATCGTTACGATGTGTGTACAGCCTTTAAGCCACCTATTAAACAAAGTTCGCCATGCTTATCGCAATATAGTGACACATGGGTTCAAATTGCTCGACAGTCCAATTGCAGAGGCGATTAAATTTTTTGTTAGATTTCCATCGATGAGTGCTAAACTAGTTGTGTAGGCTTTAGCACTAAGGTAGACCTACTCGAATACTGGGTGTAAGTCTCACGTAACTTGACCTCTGCGCAGCTTATCTCAGTGAAATTTGGAATGCAATCTTATAATTGAATATAATGAAGATAAATGTAGGAAAGTCACCAATCAAACCTTTTTTTTTTGCAAATACCCCGCCTGGCATATGTATGTTTTACGAAATATTTCAGTTCTCTGAGTTGTACGACAATGGGATCTAAGTACATACATATGTATGTGCAAGCACTAGGGAAAGGGGCAGCTCGGGGTAAGTCCAATTCGTCATGGGGCGAAAACCCACAGAAGACTAGAAGGAACAAGAATGCGCCGGCACCACAAAAAGTCGTCTGGCGGTTTGGACTTTGGACGGTTTACGTGATGTTGTCGTCGTACGATGACGCTGTCTTTGGGACTGAGAAAATTCGATGCTGGTGCTGGAGCGTGTGCTCCATTGAAAACAAAAAAAAAGAAATAAATAATGAGCACAAACCAGAAATTAAAGAACTTTTCGATTAATTTTAGACGGGGCCAAAGACCAATTCATGTGAATACGTCATTGCTTGTAGATAAATGGGTGTCTTCGTACCACGGTGTGCAAAAGTGGTTCAAACTTGTTTTGATGGCCCCAAACTAGAAATAAAGCTTTTTATTTACCTAGAACCCTATGGGATAAGCGATATTTGTAAGACTGCATAAACAACTGTAATTTTCCGAAATTAGGGGTCTTAAATATTATTTTCGAGAATTTCCTGACTGGTACCATAGTTACTAGGGACTTGACCACTGAATATTGTTTATTTTAACTGGAATGTACTGAAAGTAAGGGTTTACAATATCGTTTGCGAGAATTTCCTATGTGCAACCTCAGTATCTTGGTACCAATCTTATATAACTTGCCTCTCCAGCTATATATCTAAACAGGGATATATATTTCTATGGGAAATTGGATATGTGGTATTGTATCAGGCCCCCTGCAAAATGCGTCTGTGCCCCAGATTGTGGATCAGCCCTGTTCCGAGTTAAAGTGGGTCTCCATTTGGCGGCAGACATCTAATCAGACGGCGAATTGCCTCGTTTCAATTCAATTTCGTCTGACTGAAAGACGCAAACAAACCAAATACTACAAACATACGCACATGGATATCTGTATATATACTAGTATATTTTAATGATTTCTGCGGTTTTTGTACACAAGCTGATAGTGATAATATAGTTGCCCCCACGCATGCAAAGCGTGAAATGTTCGCCCTCTCTTTTTTTCCTATCTGTCTGCTTCCGTTTCCACGTCCCTGTCATCGAATTGGTGATTATTTTCTCTAAAATGTTCAATTGGTATTTAATTCCAAATGAGCTGTGTAAATAACTAACAGACATACAAATGAATCGAGTGATTAAATATTAATTAACTGACATGTTTAAAGTGTTTAAGGTTATCAGAGGATGAATGAAGTATAGGTGGCTCTCTGCATGTATAATTCGCCAAAAAGCGAGCTCTAGATGGCGCCTTGAAATCTTTTGCTGCATTTCTACATCAAAAAAATTTTAGAAAAATAAATATTTTTAGAGTATTGCGTCAGAAACATTTAAAGGTATGCCACTTCAAAATCCGATTAAGATAAGTTGAGTTATGGAGTTTAAAACTTCAGCCTTGGGACATTTTTTTTAATTTTTTCTAATTTCTACATCAGAAAAATTACAAAAAAGTAAAAAACAAGAATGAATGCTGCAGTCAAGTTCCTCGACTATCAGATTTCTGTTACTCAGCTAGTGTAAGTGCAAACGAGAAAATTTCGGAATATCGGTAGAAATTGGGGAGAAAATAAAGAAATGAAGAAAAACTTAAAAAATTAACGTGTGGGCGTGAGAGTTTTCTGCCGTTTATGGGCGTGGCAACTATGGAAAGAAACTTGCGCTGCGTCTATGTCTCTGGAAGCTGCATGCTTCAACATTCTCAACGCTCAACATTCTAGCTTTTGTAGTTCCTGAGATCGAGGCGATCATACGGAGAGACGGACGGACATGACCAGTTCGACTCGGCTATTGATCCTTACCAAGAATATATGTACTTTATATGGTCGGAAACGCTTCCTTCTGCCCGTAAAAAACTTTTCAACGAATCTAGTATACCCTTTTACGAGAAACGGGTAAAAAAAATGCTAGGAATACCGCAAAAATAGGGTCGATGGGCAGTATTTCCTTTAAATATTTAATAAGCTGTAAATGAGGCCAGTTGAGGGAACCATGTCACCTGTTGTGCCTACTCCGCAAATCGGCCACCTTGGCCACGCAATCACCTGCGAACTGTTGACGGACAAGGAACTCTCGCCATGGACAACGGACCGACTGATGCCACGCCCACTGCCGCCGCCTTTCGGCTGATTCTGCTTAGCAAATCGAATCCCGTGATGGGTTGCTACATGTTCTGGACCAGTCTGCTGGTACTCAAGATGCTCATAATGTCGCTACTCACCGCCCGCCAGCGAATGAAGACCAAGACCTATGCCAATCCGGAGGATTTGCGCCTCAGTCGGAGCCCGGAGGTTCGATTCGGGGATCCCAATGTGGAGCGAGTGCGACGGTGAGTGAAAACATTGTATACAACTTAGTTGGTCGTATCATTAACAATATATTGTATTGAATCATAAAACAAAGTTTTGCTGCATAGTATTTTATATGTTTTTATATACATACTATTACCTTTCACCTATTTTATGTCTTACAGTTTGGACAATTTAATATAAGATCAAGAAACATAGATCACCTTAATTTTTGTATTAGCAAAATAATCAGTGTTTAATCTTTTTTTCAGGGCCCACCGTAACGACCTAGAAAACATTCTGCCCTTTCTTCTGATGTCGCTGGCCTATGTGGCCAGTGGACCGAATCCCCTGACCGCCCGTCTGCTCATTCGGATCGGAGCAAGTGCCCGGCTGCTCCACACGGTGGTCTACGCCATCATCCCGGTTCCGCAACCAGCAAGAACCCTGGCCTTCTTCACCACCTTTGCTATTACCTGTTTTGAGGCGGGCTACGTGCTCGTCTGCTGTATCAAGTGCATTTAGACTACTGCTGACCCCACTTAGTCAACTAACTACTCACCCACTCGCATTAATAGCACCAGTGATGTCAAGTGCCTAGGTACAGATTTGGGTGCTCATTTTCAGTAAAACGTATGGATTATGCATTTAGATGCTTTAATAAAGCAGCATTTGTCCTAATTTACAAGTATAAATCACCAATAACAAGATCGCCTACAAAGGCTTTTGCTTGGCACGTTAAAGAATATTTATGTGCTAGAATTTGCTATAAAAGAAGAAAGTTTTATTCATATTATACGATCCAAATTTAATCTTATTAAGTAATAATAAGATTTAGAAACGTTCAGAAAGAAAACATGCAAGTTTGCATTAGTTTAAAAGTAATATTCAGATTATAATACTTTTTTTTCATACATAAAACATATGTTTTAGTTCTAAGAAATCACTTTATATAATAGAGTAGTTTAGCTGGCCACATAGATGAAATAGAGATACTACTTGTCCCATGGCTGCACAGCACCTTAGATTCAGTTCGACGCAATTCGTAACCAGTTTGATCGCATGCTTATGATCTCCACAATGAGCTGAGAGTGCGGCCTTACCATTTGTCGAAGTCGGCTCAAAGCGAACGCACACACATTCCGCATCCACCATGTCGGCCACAGCTAGTAATACCAGCCGGATGATGACATCGCCGGGCGATATGTTTACCTTGGAGAATCCTGTCTTTTGCTGCTATCTTTTTTGGTCCACGGTCCTGGTGGTGAAGATGCTGCTCATGTCTCTGCTAACGGCCGTCCAGCGTTTCCGGTATAAGGTAGGCTATATGAAGATATGTTTATGTCGCTGCACTTGCTTAAAGGTCATCATCATTCCACCATTCCATTCACAGCTGCTGGCAATCGTACCGTTGACACTACGGCGCAGGGTAAAAACTAAAAAGCTCTATGTCATCGTGATCACATTAGATTAATTTGATTAACCTGTTTTAGCCTCGTTCTAAAAATGGTTATTTTCCGCTCTTATAGATCTTTCCCAACCAGGAGGATCTGTTCTTCAAGAATCTCGAAGTGCAATTCGATGATCCGCATGTGGAGCGGGTTAGAAGGTGGGTTGTTACCTCAGATCTACAGTCGAAATTCTTTGCCCTTATCCTCCTACAAGTTTCGGCATGAGGAAGTTAAAAACGAGTACATACATATGCGTTTGTAATTGACTTAACCATGATTTAGAGAAGTTCGACTGCAGGCTATAAAACTATTGTTTCATTAACTTCACAGTTGAATAACTTTTCCTTTACTTTTTAGGGCCCATCGCAATGACATGGAGAACATTCTGCCGTACTTTATCATGTCCTTGATTTATATCAGTACCAATCCGAATGCCGATGTGGCCTGCATACTGTTCCGCGTGGCCTCCGTGGCCAGGATCATTCACACTCTGGTTTACGCCGTTTATCCGGTGCCGCAGCCATCGAGGATTCTGGCCTTCGCCACCATGCTCCTGATCACCTTCTACATGGCCGCCGTGGTCGCCTTGCGCACCCTAAGCTTTATCTGAATAAATTCAAGTCCCTTTCGGCTTAACCCTTGATTACAACAGGCCTTTTTCACAATTGGGTCAAGATTAACATTACGTATCTAGTTTCTGGGTTAAAGGAGATAAAAATAACAAATTTCCACTTCAATTGCCACATTTCTAGGCAACTTCTTCTGCAAACATAATGACGAAAGGATTACCTATCTCTCTACATTTTGACTAATTAAAAGCTAGCAAACTGCTATTAGCAACAGCCTTGAACAAAAAAATTACAAACCAGTTGGCTTTCAATTAATTTAGTTCTATAATTAGCTTGAGATGCAACAAAAACAAACAGGGACTGGGTATGCGGGTTGTGGCACTGGGTGTTTCGTGCAGGACTAGTGTTATCCTATAATCCTGGTGCCTTCATCCCAGGATGTGCCGGTCTATCTATATATTGAAGCCGGCATCGCGCATGCACTTCTTGTGTGCCTCTATCAGCGCCGAGCAGTTCTCTTCTCCGTTCTCCACAATGCTGGCGGTGATTGGGTATCGAAATTGGATAAGAATTCAGTTGTTAGCCATGTGGTTGCGTCACGGGATGCAAGGGGTACACTCACCAGGCGTCACGTGCCCTCTTGGTCTCCGGACAGGCACAACAGGCCTTGCACTTGGGCTTTTCGCCAGATGCGGACGCTGCGGATGCGGTGGTCACCGGCTGGGCGGCCGAAACACTTGGAGCTGGGACTCCCTGGGATGCGCTGTTGCCCATTCTCCAATCGGGTATCGGTCAATATCTATTGAAAAACCGTATACTGGACGTTACTGAATGGCTCGCGTTTGTTTATATAATAAAACTCACTTCGAGACGGATATTTCACCACAATTCGGTTTATCGGCGCACAGCACACGAAAATAACTAAATTCAAGTTCACCGAACAGGGTTGTCAATGGATGACAAATATCGCCGTGAGAGCTCAGGGTTTGGCAGCAGTGATGCTAATTTAGCCCTAATTTAATTTAATTTTGGCAATTAAATAATAAATAAATAAGTAATAAGTAAATAAGTAATAAATTAAATAAGTAATTAAATAATAATATATTATTTTGTCCTAATTATATTAGTGAGTGAAATAGTGAGGTCTTTAAAGTGAGTAGTAAAAATTGTCTTAAATAAAGCCTGAAGAATGTTTAACTTACTGTCGGAACACATAATTATTGCTGCTTTTAATATTTGCTTAGGAAACATATTTTCGTGTAGCCCTTCTTGTAATTCCCAACTGGTTCTAGCGAGGACTGTAAGGCATGTCTTCAAATTTAGAGTCGCACCGGTCGAGCAGTGAGTGTGGTGTATGTGTAGTGTATGTACCGGTGTATGTATGTATACATATGTATGTATGTATGTATGTATGTATACATATGTATGTATGTATGTATGTATGTATATATATGTATGTATGTATGTATGTATACATATGTATACATATGTATGTATGTATACATATGTATACATATGTATGTACGTATGTATGTATACATATGTATGTATGCATGTATGTATGTATGTATGTACGTATGTACGTATGTATGTATGTATGTATATATGTAGTGTATGTGTTACTTGCACAAAGTAGTACAAATTGTCTTAATTAAATATTCATAAAAAATATTTAAAATACAATATAAAATTCTTGTTAAGAAATTGATTACCCTACACTGAAGGGGATATATATTTTTATGTTTATTCGTATACAAAGCAGTGATGCCAATTTAAGGTTTTTGAAACCATGTGGACAGATTTATGTCACTTGACAGCCCTGGCGAAGTTATCGATGACAAAAAGTGTTGCTCAACAGCACAATGAAAATGTCAACAAACAATAATAGTTTTTAATATACATTTATTTTATGTTTCCATCTGCTCGCTGGTTTCTGTTTTACCAGACTGCTCCTTCAGCCGCTGCAACATGTTATAGGAGACCAGGTCGAGTTTCAGGTGCTGTACACTGAGGGCACTGCCGTCCCAATCTCTCAGCATTTTCAACTTGAGTGGATCGCAGAGGTTCATCAGCTCCAGGCCGCCAGTGCGGAACTCGTTGCGTTCCTTCTCCAGCGTCATGGTGATCACATCCTTGCGGGCTGCATGCTGATTGGCCCGATGTTTGCCAATCGACTGCTTTAGGTTGATCTGCTCCAGCTCCTCGTCGAATCGGGTGAAATAGAGCTCAATCAGATCCTCCAACTCCTGCGGAGTCAGCGGTTCAGTGCGTCCCTCATCGATTTGCCCGAGAAACCAGCTCAACTTCTCGCCGGTGATGTTGCTTTTGATGGCATGGCCCAAACGGACCTTGTGCTTGTTGTTTTGACGACGTGCCTTCTTGCCCAGCGCCTTGGTTTTCCGACTGTTAGGGTGCTTGCACTTCTCCAGTTCCTTGCGCAGGTTCGTCTAGGGATTGAATGTGTGACAACATTGGTTTTACAGATAAATTGCCCACTATTTACCGCGCACTTACCATTTTTACCTCTGCGATTGTTATTCACGTTGTTAGTCAGTGTTGGTAAACACGTACAAGCACATGTCATGCATGATCAGCTGGATCCCTAGTGGTGGGCACTTGGCAATTGCCGTAACTTTATTTAAATGAGAATGTAAAAGAAATCGCCAAAAGAAATACTATTCAAAACTTGATTTAATAATATTAATTATTGAATAAATAAATAGTCATGCATTGTGACTGCAATAACAATTTTTAGAAACGGCTTATATTGATTATATTATTGATTTTTGATTTGAAGTTTTGCATTGGTGATCTTGCGGCTATATCGATAGCTTGTCCATCTCTTCTCAGAATCATATGTTGCCGCATGCAAAAACACACACACACACATACAGGCACAGCTGCTCGATCGCATGAGGCTAAAACACACGATTCCATCCGATCCCTTGCATTTCTTGGTTCAAAGTCCCGCTAAATGGCAACACACCTTCTCCTACGAAACGGCGCTACCTGTTGGCTGCTCAGGAACTGCATTTCACAACGTGCCACGGTAAGAAACCAACAACCGCCAATCAATGGTTAAAAGAAAAACAACACAGGCGTTATGTAATCTCGCAAACACCTTTCGTGCGTGAAAGCGAGATAGAAGTACATATCTCTACACTCTTCCAATCGGAGGAATTAGTTGTTCTTACACAGAGGAAAAAAAGTGAGATCAAATATCATTAAGGTCCAGATTTGTTGGAATATATAAAAAAGATGAGTATATTCTAAAATTGTAAACCTTTTGATTCCTTATATATTTGTTGTTAAATTTTTCAAAATAAAATGTTTGGAATGTTAGTATTCATTTTTTATATCAGTCAACTCAACTTTAAAATATCGCCATGCATTAATATTTCATTTTTGAAAATAATTGTATGATTTTAAATATTTGGATACCAAGGCCATTAATTCCTCGACATGTAATCTATATAAATCTATAAAAAGATTATAGAATACCATAAGTTTTAAACATTCGGCTACAGTATATAATAAATAAACCATTTTGCATGCATTAAATAACTATATATTTTTTTATTCAGTTGAATCGCTGCCTACATGTGACCTCCAGCCTGGACAAGACAGTCTCCTTTAATCTCAGCGACATTGGTGAGGGAATCCGCGAGGTGACCGTCAAGGAGTGGTTCGTGAAAGTGGGCGACACCGTGGAGCAGTTCGACAATCTCTGCGAGGTACAATCGGACAAGGCATCGGTGACCATCACCAGTCGCTACGATGGCAAGATAACCAAGATTCACCACAAAATCGATGAGATTGCGCTGGTGGGCAAGCCTCTGCTCGATTTCGATGTGGTGAATGAAGAGGAAGATGAGGCGGAGGACTCTTCCTCCACCTCCACAACTTCCGATAGTTCTGCCAGCGAAAACGAGGAGAAGCAATCAGCTGAAGCTTGCGCTACGCCCACAGGTGGTCGTGTGATTATACCCGCCACGCCCTCGGTTCGTCGTCTGGCCAAGGAGCACCAGTTGGATTTGGCCAAGGTGCCAGCAACAGGAAAGAATGGTCGTGTGCTCAAGGGTGATGTCCTGGAGTTCCTGGGCCACGTTCCTCCGGGTACCAACGTGCCACATCCCACAGTGGTGGCCAAAACGCCCAGTGGCGCTCCCCCTGCAGCAGCGAATGTTTCTGTGCCCGCTGATCGCGTCGAGGTGCTCAAGGGAGTGCGCAAGGCCATGCTCAAATCGATGACGGAATCTCTGGTAGGTGCTTCTCAAACTAAGGCACTGATTAATTAATGATTATACTATTTTGGTGGCCATAGAAAATCCCCCATTTTGCCTACAGTGACGAGATCGACATGACCCAGTTGATGCAATTCCGTAACCAACTGCAGGCGGTGGCCAAGGAAAGTGGAGTGCCTAAGCTCACGTTCATGCCGTTCTGCATCAAGGCTGCCAGCATTGCGCTGTCCAAATACCCAATTGTTAACAGTTCCCTGGATTTGGCTAGCGAATCGCTGATTTACAAGGGTGTCCACAACATAAGCGTAGCCATCGATACGCCACAGGGTCTGGTGGTGCCGAATATTAAGAACTGCCAGACGAAGACTATTATCGAGATAGCCAGGGATCTGAATGCACTGGTGGAGCGCGGTCGGACTGCCTCCCTCTCTCCGGCAGACTTTGCCGATGGGACTTTCTCGCTTTCCAACATAGGAGTGGTTAGTACAAGTGATACATTTGAATATTTGCGAAAATTATAATATTCGGTTGAATCTGTCAGATTGGCGGTACCTACACACATCCTTGTATAATGGCGCCCCAGGTGGCCATCGGAGCTATGGGTAGGACCAAGGCGGTGCCGCGATTCAACGACAAAGATGAGGTGGTCAAGGCGTACGTGATGAGCGTGAGCTGGTCCGCCGACCATCGCGTCATCGACGGCGTAACCATGGCCAGCTTCTCCAACGTCTGGAAGCAGTATCTGGAGAATCCTGCCCTGTTCCTACTGCACTAGAGGCTCTATAACTCGAAAATGCTCACTTCTACGGATGCGGCTTTTCTCCATGCTTTTATATAGACATATCTAATATTGTAAATTGTACGACAATCTGCTTTGAGCTGGAACATGTGCCATGTGTCGCAACCCATCCCCAAAATGTGCATTTATAGGAGGCAAGCCACTTTGAGCGGCTCCTCGATTACTTTAAGCTACTGGCGCACATGGCTAACTTTCCGTGTATCTACTTTTATTGTTGTTAACCTGCATTTATTAATTTTTTTTTTTTAAGATTGTTAAACAAGAACTTTAGCGTACAGTTCAACTGTAGTGCATGCATTTATATTAAAGCTTTGTTTAAATGGCTGTCCAATAAATATCAAAAACGGTTTATGTAAAGCCACCATCTTTTTGCATTTGCTCCGTTGGGCTAAGTGAGTTTAAAATTGTTTGTAATTGTCTTACAGTTTAATCTTGAGATGCCTTTTTGCTTGGTTTACCTTGGTATCCCTTTTAAGCTGATATTAAGTAAGTTAGTTTGCTGTTGTGGATGTTCTTAAAGTTGGCTTAAGGTACAACGATTTTAAAAACGAGTTGGTGCTTGGATTATTATTGTCTGTACATATAATATAGGCAATTCAAGCCCTTAATGTTTCTATTTATTGGATTATTGGAAGTCAAGCATCTTTTTAAGAACATTTTGCGTTTAACTTGCCTACCTCGCTATGCGGATATGTACATACGTACCAGCTTTAAAACTTTGTTTTGCTGCAGGTATAATTTAATTTGGGCTCCGTTGTTCCGTTCAGCTCCTCCAAAGCCACCAGAATCACTCGCACCGAACGCGTTACTACATATACATACATACATACATATATGGATTTAAGCACACATGTATATGTTGTTACATGTTTGCCTAATATGGCCAAAAGTTCCGCTAAAAACGTAAGCTATAAAGCTAAGACCATCATATTTTTGGAACTTTCTGACCTCATAACTAATAATTTTGAATGCGGCCCTAATAAATCAAATATTTAAGTTTATCCGCATACCCTTTGAAGCCGTGATATCTCCCAAATATTGCAGAAGCTGTTTTCACATTTTAACCTTCTTAGAGATGTCTCCTGTATACCCAAGTACCCAAAAAAAGCTAGTTTCTAAAAGCGACGAAGTGCCATCACCAAAGTAGCAGTAACTTTAATATGCGGGACTTGCGCAGTGTTGCCCATTAGGCGAGAATCCAACAAGTGCGGCATGGAAATGATATTCGGCACCAGACTTCGTGACACTTCGTATCGCTTCGTGGCATTCCCAACGGTACTTTTCCAGCCTGAGCAGAGCAGCGGAATTTCAACACCACCACGCATATTGCATTGGCGCCCGAGCAGAAGCATTGCGGTGGGAATGGGCTTGGTTTGGCTTTGGCGTCCTTTGGTTAAGTTGCTTGGCCCGACGGCCAGAAAATTCAGTCACACCACGGCCATCGCGCAGTCAGTTACAGAAAATCAGAAGCTAACGACCTGCTATGCAGCGCTCCTTCGTCTGCAACTGACCACGAGAGCTGAGCAAAGAGCCTATATATTTTTTTTGCTGTTTTGTACAATTGGAAAGACATAGGCATAGTGATTGGTCCGGTGAATATTGTGCGTGTTCAGCCATGTCAACAGAATGCAGCTCTCTGATGGGGAACTACCTGTAATTAACTGAGGAAAAACAAATAACAACTAGGAAATTAAGGTGAGTCTTTTAACAAGAAATTAACAAAAAATGTGCCCCGCAGTATTTAGACCTAGCTGTACATATACTGTGTATATCAAGGCATATACTGTGTCTCTGTTGTTTCTATTCCGCCGTCGAGTGTGTATTTTTTTTCGTTCTTAACGATTTTTCCAGTGACCTTGTTGCGTACGCTAGAACGTACAAATTCACTCGGTATGTGTGTGTGTGTGTGTGTGTGTGTGGCGCTGCTGCTTAGCCTTGCCCGCCCCCTTTTATCCACATTCCGCATATACACATACACATCGCGGTGTTCTGTTCTGCGCATATATTTTGGGGCCCAAATCGGTAGCATACTTTTGAGCGCAGAGCACTCGGAATTTATGCGGGAGTTTTGTCAGGGCCGAAAACCCCGACATCCAAGGCATTTCACTTAGCATATTGCTTGTTCCCGGGTTTTTGCATACCGTGGATTGTATATACAGCCACAGCTGCGGTCACGATAATAGCCCCCCAAAAACGTGTACCCATAATTGACACAGCTTACATTATCTGCAAACATAATAGTAGGGGTTGTTTCACGACACTTCCAATTAAGAACAATTATAGACATGACTAACGGAGAGCTAGATGGCAGATTAGCTTAAGTTTGGCCAAATATTTAAGGCACATTTGGACAACAGTTTTGTATAATATAATAATATGCTGATATGCATTAAAAGTATGTTTGATAAATGAAAGACTTATTTGAAGAGATCATTTTAAAATTAGAATGTGCTGTATGTAGTGCTATTGCTTTGCGCGTTATCGTACTATGATTGGAGCTTGTTAATACCCGAATGATAAGGCCATTGGGCATCAACATTTGTGGCCTGGCCTTGATGTACGATTGTTTATACCACACACATATGTATGTACAAATATATATGATGTGGCTTCAGCTTGTTGTCAGGGAATGCAATTGCCGAGCCCTTTATTGATTTTATGATACCATGGCCAGGAGGAACCACCATCCAACATCCGAAGTCCAGTGCCCCGCCCCCAGCGGTGGCACGTGCAAAACAACAAAACAAACGGGCCAACAACGAGTCATTCACACCATTGGAGTAGGAACAACAGGACAAAAAAAAATTATAAAAACATAATGCAGCAGTAGGAGATGTGGGTGTTGAATGGAAATTGCAAGCAGAGCTCGGCTGGCTTACAGACAGGCCGCCCACTCTAAGTGGCTCGAGTGGTGACAGGAGGGTTTTTAAGGGAAAAATGCATTCTATTTTCTTTGAGCTCCGCTCATTCAGCTTCCATGGACCTTTTCCTTTTCTCTGACGCGCTTAATTCAGCGAAGAAATTCCATTGGAGTCCGCTGCAAGTCTCATTCTGAGGCGTGTTGCACGACGATAGACGCAATTGGGGCCTAGACACACGTCGAGAAACGCTTTATTTGCCTCATCCGGCTTAAAGGAACGTAGGATTGTTATGAACTCCTATTGTGAGTTTCCAACAACAGATGTTATATGCGTGCATTTCCTGGTTCAGTTTTATTTCTTCTCTACTGACTTAAGGGACACAATTGTTTTTCCTTATGTACTAAAACCATTTTAAATATGGTTTATATTATTTTTATTGGCAATCGCAATTTGAAATACTCAGCGTGTATAATAAATTCGTTTACGTTGAAATAAGTTCTAGTTATTCTTGACAGCGACGACGTAAAAGAAATATTTAAAAACCACTCCACTGTGTTACTTAAGTACCTTTTCAACGAATTCCATTCCATTTATAAACTGGGTAGCCCTGAAAGTCCAGGGACTCCAGGGACTGGTCAGAAAATAGGTTTGGCGCCATTCAGTGGGGTTTTTAGGAAGTTTCCTACCGCCATATTCTGACTTTCAGTCTCAAGTGACGTGTAGAAGTTCTTGGATCACTTGAAACCACGCAATCAAAACGCTTGCCACGCGTCACATCTCCGATTCTAATGGCGGATGATTTCATAATACGCACGCTGTCCATGGCGTAGACAATTTTTCGGTTAATGACAGTTTCGCTCTAATCCCCGCTACTCTGGACTATTTTTAACCCCAGTCAGAAGGAGTCCGGGAATGGAAAATAGGGATTGGTATTAATATTGTAACGCCTGTCACGTCCAGGCTGATGTCATTTCGCGGAGTCTGCGGTCTGAGGCTAGTATGGGGTCTCCGCAAAGTGGCATCAACTCAGTGGGTTCTTTTTTTTCGCGGAACGCGTTACACGGCTCGGGGGGATGGGGTTGCAGCTGTAGCCTTGACATGATTCGCCCTGACATGTGGTGGGAGGTGGACTGACGAACTGGTTGCCCAGTGAACGTGGGAGTCCTTTGGTGGAAAACTTTTCCGCGCCCGCAAACAATGCACAAAGTGTTCCCTTCTCTCAAGTATTTACATTTAATGTAAAATGTCTGTGTACTTATTTATATTACTTGACTTTGAAAAGTTTAAGAGTCTTACACAAAAATAAACGACCTACATTAAAAAATAAAGGAGGTTCAGGAATCTTATGACTTCAATGCATTCCGTGAATGATGGGTTTCATTACAGAATGCCATCGTTCACTTGGAGCTCATCCGATTATGAAATACTTGACTTGACTTATTCTGAGTGTGCGCTGCCTGTCAATGATATTAATTTGTGAAGGATGCTGATGTTGGCTGTGGATTTCAATATATCCTCGCGTTCTTGCCTCACATTTGCTCCATTTTCCCCCGTCCTTGAGGCAAATTCCACGTGGCGAATTGCAAAGGGATTCGCATGCCAAGTGGGCTAAACTGGCATTCTTTGGACCACCCGCAGTACAATTTGCCGCCTTAAGGGCACATAGCTCACTCCCACTGACGTCAATGGGGATTTGCAATTTGTGATTGGGCACTTTAAAGTATTTTTGCTTTGACATTCAATTTACTCGACCGGGCTTTGTTTGCCCACCCCAACTGGTCTCCATTGGCATCCCGCCTAGTTTGCCAGCGGCAAGGTCATGAGCCAACAAAGAAAAGGCCACTGGGTTGACTGACTGACTTTAACCCGAAAGCTGTGGAAATTGCAAAGTTGTCAGGCTTTGATTAATTTGATTTGACTGAAAGGATGCGAAAACTAGAGAGTCATGGGCTTAGGCTTAAGACTTTGAGTAAATCATAGTAAAACATAATAGCTGTGTGAGGATATAGCACGAGAACTACTTAGTAGATGTCCCTGAAGAGGATTTCACTTTTTAATAAGCTTTGCCTGACAGCTAATGATAGAAGCCTTGAAACTCTTTCACATGCAACAGTCCTTGGATAAATAATCCTTTCCTCGTCATCCTTACTGCCATGGCAACTCACGTTTTCCCATTTCTCCTTGCCTTTCAATGACAGCAAACACAATCCAGGATGTCGGACCAGCAGAAAGCCTCCCTCTGCCCCCGTCTGGTGGACTACATGGCCATAGTGGGTGCGCACACAACGCCTCCGATGCCAAAAGGACTGCAGGGCCTCAAGGCCCCGCCAGTGCAGGTAAGTCGGCCATTGATTATGTATGTCACTTGAATTATCGCTGTGCTTGATTTATACAACACTTGGCTTTAAACTTATTTTATATTTATTTTATATTTATTATTTAATGTTAAATATGTATGTTTTCATCAGGTGCCCGACCTGCTGCGTCGCTATCCCCCATCGGATCATGCGGATTTCCCGCTGCCCCTGGACATGGTGTACTTTTGCCAGCCGGAGGGTTGCACCAGCGTTGGACCCCGACGCACTGGCTCCGCCATTCGGGACATGACCTCCTTCGTATTCGCGCTGACCGACAAGGATTCGGGCAAGACGCGCTATGGAATATGCGTGAATTTCTACCGTCCCATTGAGCGACCTAGTTCGGCGGCGGGAGCGGCGGGAGCTGGCAACGATCGTCCGGGCAATGGAGGACCTGGTGGCCAAGGGGGCGGCGGAGGAGGAGCAGGAGGCGGAGGGCGCGGTGGAAGACGGTCATCGGCCTTCAGGCGGGAGTCCTGGCGCAAGAGCATGGAACGCAGCTCGGACTCGGCATTTAGCAGGCAAGTGTTGTGTGCCAGACGGCTGTGGTGTTTCGATGATAAGAGTATAATACAAAAAAAAAAAAAATCTATGCTAAATCCTGTCTAACGCATCTCAAACCATTTCCATAATAGTTACGGCCTCTTAACTTCTTCTAGCGACTACAGAAGTAACGTAGCGCCTAGCGATTCGGACCGTGAACTGACCTCGCGTCGCGATTCGGACCAGCAGCGCCTGCACTCTCACCACTCGCACCAGCACCAGCCGCACCACCCGTCGTCGAGCCCGGCAGTGCCCAAACTGGGTCTGATGGCTCCTTCGGCGGACTCCGAGTCCGGCGGCAGCCATTCCCCATCGCCGCGAGCCTCCCGAAAGAGGACGAAGCTGCGCAACCAGTCCCTCACCTCGCTGTGCATCATCTCGCACCATCCGTTCTTCACCACCTTCCGCGAATGCCTCTTCATCCTGAAGAAGCTCATCGATGCCTGCAACGAATCCTCGTCGCCGAAGCGGGTGGGTGCCTCCCAAAAGATCAACCGGGACAATGTGTGGACGGTGCTGACGGGCCATGTCAGCGATGCCACGCCGTCGATTGTCCTGCACGATGTGCGCGAAATCGAAACCTGGATCCTGCGACTCCTCTCCACGCCGGTTCCGGTGCCGGGATCTACCAGAGTCGAGGTGAGTTGCTAGGATAATTTCTTTAAATTGTGTACTTGTGTGCAGGTATCATTTATTTAAGCAGTCAGTTTAGATTATGAACTTGTTTTTCCGTTCCTCTAAAGACAGAAACAGCGACGCGAATTCTTCAGTAGGAATATAGTTTCAAAGATACACTTATCAATTTATACCTTTTCTTTCTAGGTTGAGGTGCTGTCGCCGACGGTGCATGAGCCACTGCTGTTTGCACTGCCTGACCACACTCGCTTCTCTCTGGTGGACTTCCCGCTCCATCTGCCACTGGAGCTGCTCGGCGTGGAGACCTGCCTGAAGGTATGGACCCTGATCATGCAGGAGAACAAGGTGCTGTTCCAGTCCCGCGACTACAACGCCCTCTCCATGTCGGTAATGGCCTTCGTCACTATGCTATATCCGCTGGAGTACATGTTCCCGGTCATCCCGCTGCTGCCCACCTGCCTCAGTTGTGCTGAGCAGCTACTTTTGGCACCCACGCCCTTCGTCATCGGGGTGCCCGCTTCGTTCCTGGTCTACAAAAAGAACTTCCGGTGGGATAAGCATCTTGTTATGTTAGAATTATATTAGTTACATATTCATTTTAGTCTACCGGACGACATTTGGGTGGTCGACTTGGACTCCACCAAACTGACGCCACCGACTGGTGGCTACGAAGAAATACCACCGCTACCTGAGCCCGAGGGCACCATTCTGAAGAACCACCTTAAGCAGGTAAGCCCAAAAGCCTCATCCTCAAACCCTTGTATATAACCAAATATCTGAAATCTTACGGATGCAATGAAAAGAATATTTTTCTAAATTTTGGAAATTCACTGACTTTCGCAAATTCAACAGAAAACAATGTTAGCAATGACCGTTTATGCATCAGGAGTACTATTTTACTTGTATAACGAAGGTTTACATATTTTTGTCTATTTCTTGATTGCACTATTCAATTTAACAAATGAGAATGAGGGATTTAACTTGGCAGCTCAGTGTGGGTTTTCCAAGGTAGACTGACAGTTATTGAGAAGATCGACGCAGTGGTCGTAGAGGGCAGTGTCCAGTTGGCGCAGCTCCTGCTCCTTGTCCATGTCGATGAAGCGCTTCAGCTTGTCCACCTCGTTGCGCAATTTGAACACGATGCCAGGTAGCATGCCCTGGGCCTTCTTGACCACTTGCTCCTGGACCTGTAGACGGCGCTGGTTGACTCCCTCGCAGCGGAAGCGCTCCAGACGTTGGAGTTCCAGATCCCGCTCGTGGCTATAGTGGGCCCTCTGCTGCAGCAGGTGCTGCAGCAAGGCCCGATAGACAATCAGTTGTTCCAGGCGTGGATCCGTGTGGACGTTATCCGTGGGATGACGCTGGAAACGTAGCGTGGCATTATGGCGCGTGTCGTTGGGCTGTACGGCCGATAAGAGGGCGATGTGGGGACTGTTGTACATGGCTCTAACTGATCACAACTGATGAGAATATGCACGAATATAGATAGATATGCACCGACATTGGGCTAGGGATTCGAATGTTATGAAGTCAATGTTATGACTGAAGTAAAATTCAAGGAGTTCTGTTGTTTTGAAAGTTCAGTTAAGATAATCAGCCATATTTAAATATTATAGATAGATCAAAATAAAAGAAGATGCGTTTTTAAAACGGGTTGATATAAATAGTATAGTTAAATCAGAAGAAAAGAAGGTGCTTTCCAAACAGGTGAATTTCCAGAATTTAAAGAATATGTGTTTCTACTTTAGATTTCCGCGATTTGCATACTATAAACGTTATAAATATGCGCGGGACACAACTGAATATCGCTTTTCCATGTCTTTTTACCCGATGTAACTGAAAATGTATCTGCTTCTGGGGAGAATTCAACCCAAAAAGAATTGCCCAGAGCAGATGCATGCAAGAACGGCGGTTACTCATTGTAGCTAACGTTATCGATGTCATATAATCGTTATCACTGCTCCATTCAACTTTGGTGTGATTGTTTTAATTCAAATGATATATCTCACCACATTCTGTGGTCTGTCACAGAGCAAATATATAAAGAGAGCACCCCAGCGATATTATAATTTGAATTTATTTCTATATCTCATTGACAAACTCCTCTTACACTTGTACAATTCTCTATCTCTCTCTCTTTCTTTTATTGTGTTCTTTTTGTGTACTCACTCTGCCTCTCTTTCTGCCTATCGATGTGTGTCCATCTCTGTCTCTACTCTAATGCTATACTTTTTACACTCATGCATTATCTGTTATATGAAATTTTTAATACTCGATCACAACAACTACTACAACTACAACTACTACTACAACAACAACAACAAATCGTATATCTACAACAACAACATGGGCAGGCTATGCTATTGATGGATGAAGCTGGACTTGGTGTAAATATCGTTCGCAAAAGTGTTAACTACGTTTGGTTTATCGTTATATTTGAGTTGAAACCGTTTGTACATAGTAAACATAATCCATATTTATATTTATAATTATACTAGCTATATGTGAATAAGTACTTGACATAGAACATAGAACTAACCGCATGCACAGTCATTCTACATAGACGTAACGACCTTGTCTTAATGTTGAACTCTCATAATCGGAGCTCGAAGACGGTTTTCAATTCGCTAGGTTTAACTTTCAAGGTGTGGAAAATTTAACAATTTCCACCCGAAACTCCTATCATGTTCTCCACCTATCAGTCGCTGTCCTTAGTGTTACGTGTTTCGTGTGCATGTCCTGCCAGTCTTTCCTTCTTCCCCTCCGTTTATCAACTTCTATAGCAACCTGAGTAACTAACTGACTTACTAACCGAAGTGGCCTTACGCCCCCAAAAAGCCTTCCAAAAATCCCCCCAAAAATCTTATAGTTAGAGAAGTTGAAGTCCTAATTTAGATGGCTAGTCTTCAAATTGACACCGTGCTAATTGCTCTAAATGGATTGCTCCACAGGCACTTACCTCAATGACGGCCACCAATACGGCGGTGTCCTCACAACAGCTATTGCCATCGGTGCGGGATAGTCTTCAGGAACCACCATTGCTAGGGTAAGTGGAGATGTAGCCTCTTTAGACACAGACTAGCACTGGGATTCTAACAAAGTTTTCTTAGGTTGCTCAGTCTTAGAGATCTCATTGACACTCATCCGTAACGTGATACCATTTTACTGATTATCCAACAGGGTTTCCCAAGTGAGACTGCCGCTCCAGACGCCTCCTCACTCGGCACAGGCCAGTCAACGGAACTCGATGTCCGCCCAAGGAACGATCAGTTCCCGCCAGCCGAGTCCGATGAATTCACCAGCCCTCAATCCATTCGTTTACGGAACGGATGTGGATTCCGTGGACGTGGCCACACGTGTGGCGATGGTTCGATTTTTCAATGCTCAAAATACATTGGCCAATTTCGCTGAGCACACGCGCACTTTGCGGCTGTATCCACGTCCAGTGGTGGCATTCCAGATCAATAGTTTCCTACGATCCCGACCAAGAGCCTCCCAGTTTCTGAATCAATTTGCCAGAACTCAGGCTGTGGAGTTCCTGGCCGAGTGGTCACTAACGCCCACAAATGTGGCGTTCCTTCGTGTGCAGACTGGCGTTATGGATCCCATGCAGGTGGGCGATAAGCCCAAGTGGTTCGCCCACGCTCTGACCCCCATTCGATTTTCTGTGTGGGACGATGGCAGCTCACTGAATGGAGCCCTGCGATCGCTGAAACAACTTGAGTGCCAGCCGACGGACGAGAGTGGCTCGGATTCGGAGGGAGCGGACAGTAGTAGCTCATCATACAGCTCCCTCAGTGACTTCGTCTCGGAAATGGCCTCATCCGATCTGTCGCCCAGCCTGCATGATGTCTTTGGGTCTTACAATCGGCCACACGTTGTTCCTCAGACTCTCTCCTCGAATTTGGACCCGGCCCTGGTGTATCATCCACCAAGCAAGCTGCAGTATCCCGAAGGCATTGCCGATGCGGTGGCCAGCAAAGAGGAGGAGGACGAGGAGCGTGCCGATAGCCCTGTCTCCTCATCCTCCAGTCGCTCGGATCTGAGTTCGCCCAGCTTCAATCGCGACTCGGAGTTTGATTTCCAGCCGAAGGGTGGACAAACTCTGGGATCGACAGCAGTTGGCGGTGGAGCGGCTGCACCCAGTTTCGAGTTGGCCACGCCGTTGGCCATGCGACTGGAGGCCACCATTAAGATGGCGAGCATTGAACAGGAATCGGACACGGGATCCACGGGCAAGACCATAGCCGCCGGTTCGAAGCTACAAAGACATACCAGCGACTCCGAATCGCGACCTGAAAAGAAGATTCCGGTAAGTCAAGGTTCATTGACTCCTTAGATAAGCGGGCTTATTTCCCAAAAATATTACCTAATTTATAGCCTCCACTAACGCCGCCGGTGAAGCAGCCTGGAGTGAGCAATATCCTGGCCCGAACTGGCAGTTCCGGCTCCAGTTCCAGCAGTCCTGGACGTCAGAGTTCCCAGAGCTCCCTGTTCGAGAACTTTGCCTCCCATGCCAAGGAGTTGGTGCGCGAAACAACGCGTCAGAGCAGCCAGGAGGGTCTGCTGGCCCATGTGGATAAGGTGGGTAAAATTGAGGTTCTTGTTATGGGCTGGTTTTTGAACTAGATGTGCTGTTGTACTATGATCGTTGATCTGATTTTCTTGCCTTTCTTTCCGTCCGTCAACGTGGTTATTATTTTTACTTTTTATTCCTTTTTTATTATTAATTTAATGGATTATTTGCGTTGGTTGATTGAACCTGACATAAATGTACCGTACTGTAGCATGCGTTGGACGAAGATCTTGACGACAAAATGCGTCATACCTTCGAAAAGGTTGGTACTCCCGCCGCACTGTCCCATCCCATCCAGAAACGATCCAACCACGCTCATAACAATCATGAACATTGCCTTAATCTTATACCATTTTTGCATTCATCACATTGCACACCACATACACACATCATCAATCAATTGAACAACGTGAGTCTGGTAATGGCCTAAATTCAATTGGGTCACAGAATTTTGCCCTTACACTTTTTCTATCATTTAAATGCACCCACACCTCATATCCAAGAAGTACCATCACAAATCCCTCCTTAAAGCATCCTGACCCCCACATCCGCACCACACCCTTCCGCAGATCTTTGATTCCCTCCTGGGAGTCGTAGTGCCATTGTAGATTGCTTTAAGCTAGACCTCAATCCGGTGTCACTAGGGGTTGAGGACTCAAGCTTTGATTGTTAGCACCACTTAGGCGATTGTGTAGACTTGGAATACCACCCATTTAGGTCTTGATTACTAATTTGTATCCATATGGATCCATAGTTCACGCTGCACGCAAAGAAGGCGGCTGGAGAGGCTTCGAAGCAGGCCCTGGAAGTGTCCAAACAGGCGGCTGGGGTGAGCAAGAATACCCTCGAAGATCTCACATATGTGGGCAAATCGACGCTAGGCGATCTCACCAAAACGGCCAAGGAGGCGGCCACCAAAAAGGGCATCATTAAGATCGAGGAGCATTCGGCGGGCGGAACTGGACCACCGCTAAAGTCACCCGGATCCCAGCTAGCCACCCACAAGCAGGTGCAGCAATCTGGCGGCCAGGGTGGTGGCAACAACTTCTTCTCCGCCATTGGGACGGATTTCAATGGGCTAGCCTCATCCACATCCACCATGTTCTCGGGCATGTTTGGTAAAAGTAAGTGACATTTAAAGATACTCCAAAAAGAATTTCTAATTACAAATTCTCTTCTTGCAGAGAACCAGCAAAAGCCGGTTCCTGTACAACAAAAGCAGGCCAACGTATCTTCTGGGAAACCCAAGTCGGGCATTAATTTCGATCCCTTCCCTGGACGCAAGGGGCTCGTGGAGCGGACGCCGTTGATTAAACATTCAGGTCCTAGGCAAACGCAGGAGGAGCTGACCCGCCAGCAAAACCAGGAGCGTTCGCACAGTAATGCCGAGAACCAGACATTCCTCAAGGATGTGACCAACCAGGTGCTCGCTGGAGAGGGAGTCGGTTGGCTGAAACTGAATCGGTTTAAGAAGCTAATGGAGGACGAGTCCTATCGCACACTGGTGCTCAGCAAACTCAATAAGACGCTGGACAAGAAGATTGCTCCAGATGATCATATTGACGATGTGGTAAGCTTCAAAGATTTGCGAGATTGCACTACCAGGGTAACCTCATCGTTTATACCTACAGTGCGTGACGAAGCCCGTGTGGAAGGGTATGCTGAAGTGCATCCAGGCCATAGCCGGCGGATTGGACGTGACTTTTGCGAATTTCGGCCTGGGCGGTATGGCTTCTGTGTTCCAGTTGATGGAGGTGGCCCACACGCATTATTGGAGCAAGGAGATCAACGAGGGCAGCGACATGTCATCCAGCCTGCTCTCCAGCCACGCCGCCAGTCCGATGGGCAGTAGGGAGAACCTGCGATCGCCCAGCTCGCCAAATGGTTCCCACTCGGCACTGGGCAGTGAGTGGGCATCGCCTCAGGAATCACGGAAGAGTTCCACCCAATTGGCACACGGTGGACCAGCTGGTTCGCATACGGGAGCACCGATCAACCGGCGATTGTCGTCGGCGGACAGTCAGGATGGTCAGTCCACCACGGAGATGTTCAAGGACATGCTGTCGCAGAAGAGAAGTGCCTTGAAAAACATGCTCACCTCTTTTGATTCAGATGTAAGTTGTGTTGCTCGGTGTAGTTTCTTAAGATATCAGTACCCCACTAAGTCATGTAGAGCGTCCATTCCATCAATGCCAATTGTTCTCAGCTTGCCAAACCAATCCTGTATTTCGCTCAGTGTATATATATATATATATCGTATCGTATGTAGATTCGCCTATCAGCATTTCAGTAAATACCTAAATCAGTACCAATTAGCATATATCAGTATCCACCAGTATGTAACATATACTACATGTACACGTATGTATGTCGCATAGCGAGTGTCAATCGATGTAGTCTGCCGATCCTCCCACCGTAACCTCTCAACCGTAAAGAACATATGTATTCGTAACCGCCACCCGCTCCGCCTAAATCCCGTATCGTTACCGTCCAACCGATATACCCGATTGTAGAGTACTCTAACACTCAGTGTGTGTAATCCGTAGGCTGCTGGCTCCACGGGGGCGC